TCCGCTTTGTGTCATTTCAGGGCTCTGGGGCACAGGAGCTGCCTCTGGTCGTCTGAGTGATTAGGGGAGTGAGAGAGCGAGAGCCCCAGGGAGGAGGTGGGCTCTGGATTGCCTGTTTTTTCCTGTGGAAGCTGCGCTCCCAGGTGAGTTTTTCACCATCTCTAGCAACTGGCAACGCTGGGAGGGGCAGTCCCTCCAGGATCCTCAAGGCCCCCAGAAGTCGAAGCACCAGAATACAGATGTGGTTCATACAGAGAGGCAGGCTGTTGATGAATCTCTGGAATAAAATACGAACTGTCCAAGCCTTTACTGAAGATCCTGTCAACCCGCTTTTTCATCTGAAATTTTTCACTTACCTTATTTCTTCCTTCCCTTTCATCTCTTTTGAGCACCAAGATATCTTGTGATGGGGAAGCCCAGGAAAACCATGAAGAAGGTCTTTGCTGGCATCATTGTCAGCATGGAGGAGAGAAAGTACCTCCGTGTGGGGAACTGGAAGTACCACCTACGTTCTACACGGGCCCTCCGGAGACCTAGCCGCAGCGGAGCTCTGCCCTGCATCTGAGTGGTGCCCCATCTACGGTCTGCTAAGCCTCCCTGAGATCCCGGAGGGACACGGTGATCAGGTCAGAGCTACAGCCTTCGTCCACCACACCACCTCATGCCTTTCTGAGCGAGCCCAGGCCCCTCAGGAGGTCCACCAGGCACTGGCAGCCCCAGGTGGAAGGTCACTGGTGACCTTGCCGTGCAGCGTACTGTGACAAGCCCCGCCCACGTAGGGCATCCTGGGCTGCTGCCCGGGCAACGCCTTTTCTCCCAGGACAGAAGAGCTCAGCTAATTCCATGATTCCGCAGCCTGGTTTATTTGTTTAGTGAGTACTAGACTCTAATGGCAGAGCTATTCTTCCTTGGTCGGCCTCACTTTACAGGTAGAGGTGGCAACCAAAATTCAAAACCGCAGCCAGAACTGGACACAGGGGCAACACCGTGCCACCCGACCCACTCGTGGAAGGCAGTATGGAAAAATGTAGACCCCCGGAATGAGGCTCATTGGAGGGCCTGGTGGGGAGGGTCGCCGAAAGCATCTAGAGGCCCTTGTTCGCTCCAGAGGAAACAAGCCTTCGTGTCACCTCCCCACGCTCTCCTCGCCTCTCCCAGTTGGGTGCCACGTGGGCCCTGATGAATGTCACCCCATTACCAACAATCCCCCACCCATTCTACTCTCTGGTTACCATGTTTCCATAAGTGCAACGATTAAACAGCTTCCTGTAACAAACAGGGTCATGGGACTATGTGAATCTGAGGGAATGCATTGGAAAATCTGTGGAGAGACATAGAGATATGAAGTATATTCCTATGAAGATGAAGAGAGAGGATGACAGACAGGCCCTGGCACAGCTGCTCCACACCTGGAGCTGGGCATCCCAGGTAAGCATACCTGCATTGGCCACATAGGCACCTGGGGCTCCCCTGGGAGAGCAGGGGCCCTGGTCACTACCCAGCCTTGCCTGCGTGGGTGGTCACTTGAAGCTGCTGTCCCCGTTCTAGACCTCAGCCCAAGGTCAGAACACACGGCCCCTTGGCCTCTGCAGCCGTGTCAGTGCACTGCCTGGTCCAGGGTGCCCTTTGCTGTCCTCATCGCCACCCCTGCCCTGGATTCTTCCGTGAAACGCTCTTAACTGGCCACCTTCTCCTCTGTACACAGCGTGTTCCCTCACTGCCTCTGCGCTGAAAGGTCTTTCCATTATTGCTTTGCAAATTTTCAATGTCTTCCCCGCTGCCCACATTCTTTCCTATTTTAAATTCTAGCTTGGCCCAGTCCTTCTACTTAGAGAGAACACAACTCACTCCAGTTTTGATCGCTCATCTCAGCGGGGAGCTGCTCTCCATCATTGCTCGTTTCCTGGGAGTCACCTCCATTGCAAGTTATATTCTGTCATCTTCTGATGCATGATCCCTATCCCACCCCCTGTAGCTCTCCCACCCCAAGGAGGCCGAGGGCGGCTGGGGGGACATTGCATTTAGAGAGAATGGCCCACGACCCCTCCTCTTTCTTCTGGGCAGTGTCACTCTTAAAGCAACAAACACTGTCACGTGTGTAAAGCGTGTTGGGGGGCCCTGGTAAAATGGCTGTTCCTTCAGGCTTCCAAACCTTTGCATGTGATGTGTGTTCCCTGCCAGAAATGCCCTTCTTTTAAACTTCTTGCCTGGCCCAGCCCCTCTTGACTGTTTAAGTCCTATTTCATTTTAATACACAGCTAAAATTGCACCTGTGTGAAAACGCCTTCCCCACCCCTCCCAGGCAGCCCCTGCCTCCTGCGTGGCCCTGCGAGGATGCGTCCATGCCTCTAGGCCTTCTCGGTCTTTCTCTGCTGCCCTTGTGCATGTGCCCCCTCCCCTGCAGGCTGCGTGAGCTTTGAGGCTGCTACTGTCTCAGTCACTCTGGGCCCCCAGAGCCTGCACTGAACACCTTAGTCTTCATGACTGTTTATTGGGCCCGTGGGTGGAGACAGGAAGCAATGACTATCGGTGGTGTGTGTCTGTGTGCTTGCGAGGGTGTGGGGAGGTCAAGAGAGATTGACTGAAGCCCTCTGCACCCCGGTTTCCTCATCTGTAGGGGAGGGGAGATGATGGCAGGACCTACGTCGATGTCGTGGGGGTGCTGTGAGAATTAAATGAGTTAATACGCGTAAAGCACTTCAGTCAGTGCCTGGAGCTGGCAACTAATAAATGCTCAGTAAAAACATTTAACTGTTATTATCTTAGAGAGATCGATGAGCCCTTTACATGAGCCAACTTGGGTTACGTCTTGTGATTAGGAGAGGTACACGCGGTATCTCAAAAATCCAAGGCTCCCTATATGTGTGTCACCATACGGCATTGGTCTCTCTCTTTCTGACTTACTTCACTCGTATGACAGACTCTAGGTCCATCCACCTCACTACCAATAGCTCAATTTCGTTTCTTTTTATGGCTGAGTAATGGGGGCAGTTCAGGAATAAATACACAGACGTAGAGAATGGATTTGAGGACACGCGGAGGGGGAAGGGTAAGCTGGGATGAAGTGAGAGAGTGGCATGGACATATATACACTACCAAATGTAAAATAGATAGCTAGTGGGAAGCAGCTGCATAGCACAGGGAGATCAGCTCGGTGCTTTGTGACCACCTAGAGGGGTGGGATAGGGAGGGTGGGAGGGAGATGCAAGAGGGAGGGGGTATGGGGATATATGTGTACATATAGCTGATTCACTTTGTTATACAGCAGAAACTAAGACACCATTGTAAAGCAGTTATACTCCCATAAAGATGTTCAAAAAAAATCTAAGGCTCACTTCCTGATCAAGATTTCTTTTTTCAAGCCGTAGTGTCCCCTCACTTCCCACTGTCCCTTCCTCCAATGGTGACATATCCAAGTGGGACCGGGTGGGCTCAGGTGGAGGTAAAAGTAAGAACAGATTCAGAATAACGGACAAGCGTCTTGGTCAGCCCCTGGGTTACAGAGAGTACGGGGCAGGGCACAGGATGGATGAGCAAGGATGTCCCCCTGGAGTCCCGGCTCCACAACCACATGTGCCTCGTGCCTCAGGCAAATCTCTCCATCGCTTCCAACCTCAGTGGACTCATCTGTGAAATGGGCATGAAGAAGCTGGAAAGTCCTCTAGGTCTCTAATTCTAAAAGAAATTGTACGATTCTAGTTCCAAATGTGAGTCCCCACGTGGAGTCATTCTACGCTGGAAAAATAACAAAGGTTATTTTACCAGCAGCCTTGGGGGTGAGCAAACTAGTAAAACAACAACAACAAATATTTTTAAAGCAGGAAAAGAACAACAAAACCAAACTGAAAATCATCTATGACCTGGACAAGGCAGTATTTTTACATGATCTACAAAGCTATTCTTATTTGTATAATTAAAAAATACTTATATGTCATATCATATTTTATGTATGTAAACATATATGAATGTTTATATGTGTCATAAATATGTGTACATAATGGTTTTCTTAATGGTCTCTGATTAAGACATTATTTTAAGTAGAAATCATAATAACCTTGAGCACTGTAAAAACCCTGTACCCGTTTCCCTGGAGGTAATGCATTGGAAAAGCTAACAGCAGGCTTCCCTGAGGCCAGGAGGCTTCACCCTGGGAGACTGTTAGCAGAGAGCAGCCCCTTCGTTCAAGACTCAGGTTTTGAATTCTGAGTCTCTGGGGTCTCAGGCCGCCCGCTTTCTCTGTGGGTCTCTGGTACGGGTCAGATTTGGAGGCTGGGAAGTGACCAGTGCAGAGCCAGGGCAGTGGGTTCTGCACGTCACCTGCCTTGTATCATGCCTCCCGCCAACGAGCTTGTTGGGTTTCCCATCCCATTTTTCATTAATCTTCTCCAAATCTCCCTGGGGTAGCTGAAGGGGCAGGGTGCAACTAGCCCTGACCAGGATTTATAGCTGGGGTTGGGGAGAAGGAAGTGGCCATCACGCGGCCACCACCAGCAGCCAGGACTGTCCTGCAGGCCTTTCAGAGCTCGGAGCGCACAGCTGTGTCCCAGGAGCCCCCTGGCTCCCCCACCTGCTGGGACGATCCAGGCAGAAACAGAGCTCCCTTTGCAGGATCACGTGTGCACCTTGGAGGCCAAAGCAGATTCTGGAGTCATGTTACTTCTGATATCCCAAAACCAGATAGAAGTGCATGTCTCTGAAAGTTTCCATGTTTGAGGATGTTTAATTTGGAAAGTTCTGAGCCAGCAGGGAATTGTTTTTGGAAAGTCTCTCCTAGCTAGGAGGCAGGAGAAATGGTAGCTGCAAACCTCTCTTGCAATTTTTAAAACTGTGATTATATATATATGTGTGTATACAACACAAAATTTACCATTTTAACCATTTTTAAGTGTACAGTTCAGTGGCATTCACATTTTTGTACAGCCACCGTCCATCTCCAGAATTCTTTTCATCTTGCAAAACTGAAACTCTGTCCCTTAAACACTTACTCTGATCCCCCTACCCCCAGCCCTAGGCAACCAACATACTTTCTGTCTCTATGAACTGGACTCTTCTAGGTGCCTCATATGACTGGAATCACACAGTACTTGTCTTTTTGTGACTGGTTTATTTCACTGGCATCCTGTCTTCCAGATTCACCCATGCCTGACTTACCTTCCTTTTAAGGCTGAATAATATCCCATTGTATAGATATACCACATTTTGTCTATCTATGTGTCCCTCGGTGGACATTTGTGTTGCTTCTCTTGCGATTTTAAATCAGATATTTCTTATTAGCCTATTTTCTTTCAAAAGGAAATTTCAGAAAATTTTGTCCAACAACACTTAATATCTCAGCCAGTTGGTTATGATACTGACTCTCTGTCCTGCTCTGTATATTACCACTTTTTATATTACGCATTGCTTTCTGTCTGCAAATGCACCCTAGATTACTCATTACTTTATATATGATCTTTGCAGTGTTTCTCTTATAAAGAAAGGGTTTTGTGACCGGAGGTGTTACTACAAAGCTAGTGAAGCAAAATCTTCAGTGTCCCTCACTTAAGAGGACCCTTTCCAAGGCCCTGGCCATTTTGTAATTGTAACTTTATATTATTTTTATTGATGAGGGTCCCAGACTTGCGTGTCTGTGAGTCCGCACGGAGTGGAGGTGGGAGCTTGGGTCGCCTCTTCTCAGGGATTTCTCAAGGTTTACTCCTCCGACAAACAGGGAGAACTTTTGCTGTCAAGTCACTGGTTCTACCTCCCGCCATGCCCTCCCCCCCATCCCCATTTCCCTTTCCAAATCCTTCCCACTGTTACAGTTTCTGAAAACAGCTGTGCTCAGCAAAGAGGAAAACACAGCACAACTGAGACGATGGCCTCAGTGGTGACGAGAATCTGCTGTTGGATTTTTAACTTTTGCTTCATTTTCCCTAAAGTCATCCAACTCTAGCTGCTCTCCTGACCTTAGCCGGGGGCGGGGGGCATTGCCCAGCACCCCTCCCATCTTTGCTCATTCTGCCTGTGCACACGTCACCCTGGCGGGTCCACATGTGTCTGCTCTGAACCCACAGAGACCTAAGGATAAATCAGATCGTCTGTGCAGAGAGAAATCGGGTCCTGTGCCGCAAACTGATGGATAATCCATGTGTGTTTGTAATGTGCTTTCCTCCCTTTTAACACCATCCTTCCACCCAGACCCACCCCTAGAACAATGGGAAACAAGAGTCCCTTCCCCTTGGCCCTGCTAGTCGCCTCCCAGCAGCCGAGACCAGGGGAGAGCAGGTGGTGGGGGACCTGGGCTGGGTGGGCAGGGGAGGGAGAGAAGCCCCCCAGGGAAGGAGGCTGGATTTTGGCGACAGATCCACATAATTGCCGCCTTCGGAGAGAAGGAACTGCAAACAATAAAAATCTATATTTTTAATGCAGAAAACAGGACCAGATTCACTTGGGGAAGGTCTGTACATGGATGGCTACCTCACACAGTTCTCTGCATCTGCTCTGAGCTGCCCCAGTGGTACCCGGCCCCCGCGCTGATTTTTCAGACCTGGGGTGTTGTGACCCCACCGTTAACTCCCAGGGAGAACCCAAAAGCCATCTGGAGAAGGACTCTGTACTTCTCTATTTCCAAAAATTGAACAGAAATGGTCTTTCTTAGGAAAAAAATGATATTCAACTATGTTTTATTACTTTGAAAAATGTTTAATATAAGATACATAGAGAAAAGTGCACAAATCATAAATATACAGTTAGGTATTCACAAGGTAAATTCATCAGAGAAATCAGAACAGTGTACAGAAATGTAGCCTAGAGAGAGAACCCAGAAGATGCCTCCACCCCCCGCCCTCTCCCACCCTTGTCCTCCTTCCCTACCACCAGCCCCAGCTAACCAACCATGACCCTAACTTCTGACACCACAGAGGAGCTTTGCCTCTTTTTGAATTTTATCCAAATGGAGCTGTAGTGTGTGAACTCTCTCTTTGCTGATGTATTGTGCTCACATTTTGTTTGAGATTCCTCTCTGTTTTGCGTGTAGCTGCTGTTTGTCCGTTTTCATGGGTGTATAGTATTCCATTGGGTGATCATACCACAACTTACTTTTTCATTCTACCATTGATGGGAATTTGAGTCATTTCAAGTCCTGCTGCAAACATTCTTATCCATTCCTTTGGAACATAAAGAAGCATTGGGAGGGAATATTTCTAGGAATGAAATTACTGGCTCAGAGGGCATTTCAAAGTTCAGCTATAATAGAAACTACAAATCAACCAAACCAATTCATTATTCAATGAGGTTTTGTCCAGCAATACCAAGGCCTCTGACTCTAAAGGAAATACAAGAGGAAAGACAAGATATAGCCCCACTCTCCAAGGATCACAATATGGTCAAGGGATCCACTCATGAAAGAGTGAAAAGATACTACAACTTAAATTTAATTGGGCACCAAACTGAGGTTATCGATACCAAGTGTCATAGGACCAAAGTCACAGGTAGGAGAGAACAGCCAGGCCTCTTTCCTCCTGACAACAGTGAGGAAAGTATCTATATAGTGAAACACAGGCAGGGGTTTTTTGAGTTCATCCCCTTCCTGATATCTACTCTGCAAGCCCCAAAGGGCTCTGTTCATTCTCTGAAGCAGCTTTGCCTCTCTGCCTTTGATTCTCACCCCACATGTAGAAGGCCTTAGTACTAGGGACTGGGTACCATAAAATGGAAAATAATAAAATAATGACAGCACAGAGATTTCTCTTTACAGAAATTTCAGCCAAGTTATTTGAATCAACCTTCCCCATGAAAACAATCAGCGTTCTAGATTAAATATTCAAAACACTTCCATAACGACATGAAGTTACTGACAAAGCAGTAAAAAGCTACCAGGCCAAAGCCTCTGGTGAAGGGGAAACTCAGAGATAAGAAGTGCTGAGGCCAATTCTGCCCTGAGTCCTTGCTGTGCTGAGCAGAGCAGAGGAAGAAAGAAAAGGAAAGCAATAATGGCCTTAAGGAGTTGTGACTGTGACTCACACAAGGATGGGCATCACAGCCTCACATTGCCTGGGTGGTACAGGAGACCTCATGTCATGGATTGATTTAACATGGTCCCAGACTGTAGTTCCTGGGAGTGCCTGGATTACTGTTTCCTCAACATAGGTCCATAAACATTGCAAAGACAATGAGCAGCACACAGTCAAAAATAACCAAGCACGTAGGAAGCAAGGCATCAGAAACAAACAAACAAAGCCAACCAAAACAATAAACAGAACAAATATATCTTTAATATTTAGATATTGGAATTATCAGACAAAGATTATCAAACAACTATGCTCCCTGTGCTTAACGAAATAAAACGGGCTTGAAAATACCTGCAGGTAACAGCAATCTATAAAAAGTGACCCAGCATATTTGAAAAAGAACCAAATAGAACTTCTAGAAATAAAAATACAATGTCTAAAATGTAAAATATTAATATAACTAAAGAAAGAATGATTAGATTTCATAAAATTCAAGACATCATAAGATGCACTATTATTTTATAAATACTGGGAAGAAAATAATTTTTTTTTTTTTTGGCTGCATTGGATCCTCACTGTTGCACGCCAGCTTTCTCTAGTTGTACCAAGCGGAGGCTACTCCTTGTTGTGGTGTGCAACCTTCTCATTGTGGTGGCTTCTCTTGTTGTGGTGCGAGCACAGGCTCTAGGCAGGCTTCAGTAGTTGTGGTGCACGGGCTTAGTTGCTCCACGGCATGTGGGATCTTCCCGAACCAGGGCTTGAACCCATGTCTCCTGCACTGGCAGGCGGATTCTCAACCACTGCGCCAGCAGGGAAGTCCCTAGAATTTTTAATTTACACTTATTATAAGAGCGCTTCTGGACTTAATTAAAAAATCTATACTGAAATATCACATTTGTGGAAGCCTAATAAAAAGGAAAATATGATTGAAATAAACTAGTTTAAAATGTTCCTAAAACTTCTTTGCAGCCGGAGTGTGATTCTTTCAGGTCATTTTAACTCAAAGTTTTGACTGTTTTTCACAAGCTTGAGATGCAGCGTATCTTAGAACGTGCCCCATGATTGCTTTCAGGATCTTCTTCTAAGCCCCTAAGACCCATTCTGCAAGTTTGATTCTGGTGCTTTCATGATCTTATCAGAAATGCCCAGTTTATAAAAGGTTTTCCACTGAAGTTCAATTGCATGGAAAGGCTTCAGATAATGAAGGCGACTCAGATTCCTTCCTTCCTTAAACTGTCTAGTTTATTGATTGAAACATCAGAGAGCTGCAGTGGTCAGTCCTGTGGCCAGGAATAGCAGCCATATTCACACCAGACAGGGGCAGTGATTGCCTTCAGCTGTAATATGGCCCTATTTCAGGATGTTAAAATGTGAAAAAAGCGCGGCTCCTAAGCAGAGAAAACATGGTAGGTGAAGACCTGCTCACGCACTTCTGTGGTCTCCTTACTTCTCCTGCATCCAGTCTGCGGGGCATTGGCACCTCGTGTTTTATGATCCCACCTCCCCATTCTTCACCACTCGGTTCCTCCAGCTCTGCCGGGCTGAGCCTCAGGTGCTCTGAGGCCTGGGTGTGGGAGAGACCCAGGCCTCCTTCTCCCCTTTCCCGGCTCCAGGCTATCTGGGCTCCCTGCTGCCACCACTGCATAGTCATCCTCTTACTCACTCTCCTATGTCTCTGTCTGCAGCCCCTCCTGACCCAAGCCAGTACCTGCCCTGGTCCCAACTCGCCTGACTGCACTGAAACATTGCAGTGCCTGGAGGCCCCAGTGGCACAGGGGCCAGGCCACACTTAGGTGCTTCCTAGTTGAACACCCTGTGAAGCTTCCTTAGCTCCTTGGTACTGACAGGAATCAACACACAGACAAACAATTTATCAAGTGGTAGTCATGAACTGAGTGCCTTGTGGACAACAGACATCTCTTAAATGTCTGCTCTCGGGCCCTGTGAGAGGAGCTCCAAGGGAATCCTCCGGAGCTGGGCCTCCTGGTCTTGCTATCGAGTCCAAGATCATCCTGCTAACTGCAAAACAGGCCAATAAATTGAGAGACAAGTTGTTGGGGCAGGGAATAGTGACTTTATTTGTTATTTATTTATTTATTGTGGTTCGCGGGCCTCTCACTGTTGTGGCCTCTCCCGTTGCGGAGCACAGGCTCCAGATGCGCAGGCTCAGTGGCCATGGCTCACGGGCCCAGCCATTCCGCGGCATGTGGGATCTTCCCGGACCGGGGCACGAACCCGTGTCCCCTGCATCGGCAGGTGGACTCTCAACCACTGCGCCACCAGGGAAGCCCGGAATAGTGACTTTATTTGGAAAGCCAGCAGACCGAGAAGATAGTGGACTCCTGTCCCAAAGAACCGTATTCCCCGAATTACAGCTCAGGCTTCTTTTATACTAGAAGGGGAGGGGGTAAAGTCCTGGTTCTGGCCAGTGTTAATGTCTTCCTTCCTGCAGCCATTCACAAGTGGGCCTGGTCAGGATGTTTCCTGTGAGCTAAACAAAGGTATTTTAGCTTAACGCTCATTACCTGGGAGGCAGGGTTTCCAGAGATGAGCCATTACGCATAATTTAAGCTTATAGGCAACATCCCTTTAGTGATGAACCCGTAATAGAATACAAAGGTTCTTCCCTATTACAGTCTTTGTCCCCCAGGCACCTACCTGGTGCGGCCTCTACCCCACTACCCTGCCCCCACTGTGAGAGCAGTGCACGATGGCTTAAAGGGATTTTGAAGTCCTTAGGCAGTGTTTAAAATGGTACATTTGGGGAATTCCCTGGTGGTACAGTGGTTAGGACTCTGCACTCTCACTGCCAAGGACCCAGGTTCAATCCCTGATCGGGGAACTAAGATCCCACAAGCCACACAATAAAATGGTACATTTAAATTTTAATCATGTATTCGGTAGGTCTGAATGAAGCAATTCATAACGGCATTTCAATTGTATTTTTCCCCTCCCAACTGATTCAGGCTTCACTTTTTCAACATAGGACAGTTTATTTTCTTATTATGTTCCAGGCCCTATGGAAATAGGATCCCAAACAAGATTGCTTTGTACAGCATTATGTGATGCATCTATCAAAATTCTGAGAAATGTGCTTTTATGTGCCATTTACGCATTGTTTCTATCCAACCGAAGTTATTAAAGGCTTCCATCCACAATTGGAGAAGGGAAGGGTGGTTTTTCCATTGGCCAGTCTTTTTGGAAATAGAACATTTATTTGCAGACTTTCCTTCTCAGCAGCTTCACCTTCTCAGAAGCATTCTTAGCTCTGAACTCCCTGGAGTTTGAAGAATCTCAGGAAGGAAAGCCTTGAGGTCTGTGTATGAGTCTCCTACTCCTGCTGTAACCAAGTACCTCAAACCTGGTGGCTTAAACAATACAAATTTATTATCCTGCAGTTCTGATGGTCAGAAGTCTGACACAGGTGTTCCCCAGGCTAAAGTCAGGGTGTGAGCAGGGCTGCATTCTTCCTGGGGACGCTGGGGGAGAGTCCATTCCCTTGTCTTTTCCAGCTTCTAGAGGCCCTGCATGTCTTGGCTATGGTCCCTTCCTCCATCTTCAAATCCAGCAATGCTGCATCCCTCCGATCCTTCCTCCCCAGGTGTATCTCCCTCCGACTCTCCTCTCTGCCCCCCCGCTTCCACCTTTAAGGACCCTTGTGGCTACATCAGGCCCGACCAGACAGTCCAAGGTCATCTCCGTGTTCTAAGGTCAGTTTATAAGCAACCTTAATACCATCAGCAGCCTGAATTCCTCTTGGCCAGGAAACAGGACATATTCCCAGGTTCTGGGGATTAGAATGTGAGCCTCTGGGGGGCCATTACTCTGCCTCCTTCATTCTGGATAACGTGAGATGAGCAGACCATGACGAGAGCGTGAACCTTAGAATGACTCCCTGACCCAAGCACAACGCGGGAAATAGCCAGGGGATATTTGCTGAGAGCCAAGAACCCGTGTTAATGACAAGAGCTGTCTCGTCACTGTCACTGGCCTATGTCAGTGAACAGAGAGTCCAGGTGTTTCTATCACAGACGGATGTGCCAGCTCAGTGTGGCTCGTGCTTTCAGCATCGTTTAAAATGTGGCAGGGCTTCCCTGGTGGCGCAGTGGTTGAGAGTCCGCCTGCCGATTCAGGGGACGCGGGTTCGTGCCACGGTCCGGGAAGATCCCACATGCCGCGGAGCGGCTGGGCCCGTGAGCCATGGCCGCTGAGCCTGCGTGTCCGGAGCCTGTGCTCCGCAACGGGAGAGGCCACAACAGTGAGAGGCCCGCTTACTGCAAAAAAAAAAAAAAAATGTGGCAAATTCCCCATGGATCTCAAAGGGAGTAAATATTAGGCTGAGTGAGAAGTTTTCAAACTGAGAAGGTTGAAAAGTTGAGGAGCTCTCCTTTGTCATTCAAATTCTGCTTAAACTTATCAACTCACCAAGATTACCTTGGGCCTCCCTGCCGTTCTGTTCGTTGTGGAGTGGACGTGGTAAAGCTGTCCTATACTCTGTACATTAACACAGTGTAGATTTGCAGAGAAAACAACAGGCTCTTGCTAGCTGAAGCAGGGAAGGATTGATCTGGGAGTTTTGATGGGTTACAGAATCACTGGGAGAGCTGAGGAAACGGACCAGAGGCCAGGCTTCTAGGAAGGACCCCCAAAGCCAAGCTGCAGGACCTGCCGCCAAAGTTGCTGCAGTGGCGGCTGCCCTTGACCCAGGAGGCCACCCCAGAGCTGCAGTCCCCGGGGCTCCCCACTCTGCTGCAGGCGGTGGCTACCCCCAGGAAATCAGAAAACCGTGCGCCAGCTGCGGCCCATGGAGCCGGGGTCTCCCGGCTACAGTCCTGCACCTTGACGATGCTCATCCCCTCCAGCCGCCTGTCTCACCCAGCTCAGCTCTGCAGCCGGGTCTCCCAGGAGGGAATGCGGTTGGCAGAACCCAGACACACCCAGTCAGGCCAGGGGAGTGTCAGTTTCAGCGTCCCGGCTGTGGTGAAGGGCATCTCCAGGGGCAGCATTGGGAGAAAGGGAGTCACCAGCCCAGGGCGCCCGCCACCATCGTTAGGGATCTGCGGGGAAGATCGGTACCTGGAGCCCCACAAGGACCTCCACGGAGGGTGGCTTCCGCTTCGTGACAACTGCCAGAGGGGAGCCTAAAACAGGACTGAAAGTGCCTGCTGCCCCATCTCCTTTTTCTGCTTTACATCTTTCCCTTCTAACAACCCTTCCTGGGCGTGCGTTGGCTTCAGGTTTGGCTTGACCCTTGTTTTAGCTGAACCAGTTCACTTATTCCGGCTTCGTGGCTGCCCCAACAATATATGGGCATATTTTGCCTGAGTATGGCTATCTTTTCCTTCAGGGAAAATGTATCAGCGTAGAGTCCGTGGCACTAATCCAGAGGAAACAGCATGGCAGGGTGGCCGTGCTGGCAGAGCTCTCTGGTTGACTCATGGGAATTGGGAATAAATGACCAAACGTAAACAGCGGAGCGGTGCCAGCGGGCTCTCTTCAGCTACAGTCTCACGTGGCGTGAGAAGAAAGAGGCCACGGAAAGCCCAGATCTGGGCATCTTGCCGTTTGCTGCTGCTAGCTTACTGCCTTGATCACTCAGAGTGCAGTGACTCTGAGAAACAGCCCTTTCTTGCTTGCTTTTCTAATGGCCTCCTCTGGTTGAGAGCCCCCGGCGAGACCCAGGCTTCCTCAGCCAGGCAGGGCTTAGGCCTGTCTGCCAGTGTTGCAGAAGGGTCCCAGCCCTCACCCCCGGCTGGGACCAGCGGGAGAGGACATGCTGGCAACCCGAGCCGAGTCTTGCTGCCTTTAGCTTCCAAATGCTTAACAGCAAAACCCTCAGGTGACCTCACAGGACAAGATCAAAGACAGATGATAGAAGACGGATGGATGGATAGATAGATAGATATAACAAATGATAGATATAGATGGATATAGATAGATATGATAGAGGTGATATAGAGACAGATGATGGATTGATAGATAATAGATAGATAGGTAGAGAGATGACAGATAGAGATAGAGATGTACAGATATCACAGCACCGTCACTCAGGGAGCTGAACAATTGCACGCATGCTCACCACTAGACCTCTCCCTTCCTTCTCTGGCTCAGAAGCTGCTGAAGGCCTCAGGGACCCCACGGGATGCTCTGTCATTTCCCTCCATGGCTAGTGCCCTGTGGGCCCTGCCTCTGAGTGTTCCCGAAGCCGAAGAAACCCCAAGGCACCTACAGACACCACATTCCCTTCTGGTCTCACCGCCCCTGGGGGATGCTGTGTCCCGTGCAAAAGTAAGGAGAAGGTCCTCTTCCCAGCTCTGTCTCACTTCCTCATCTGAGCCCCGATGAAAGGTAGCCTCCTCCCAGAGTCTCCGAAGACCTTCCTGAAAATGACCCACTTCACCCAGCCTGTGTCTCCTCTTCCCACAGCTCTGACCATGGCTCTGGGGCTCATGCGAGGTCCCAGCCAGGGGCACTGGGCCCCATGCCCACTCAGAGGCCATGCCCCAAATCAGAAGGAGCTGGTGACCCATGCTTAGCATAAAATCTCATGATTCTTTTTCCAAGCCCAGGTCCAGAACTTGCAAAAGAACCAGCTCCGTGGGCAAACAGTAGGGCCTTCCTCATGTCCTTCAAGGAGTAACTCCCAATACCAACTATTCTGGGGTTTGGGGATTTTTCTGGAAGGAAAGGGTGGGGAGAACTGCATCCTGCACAGAGTCTCACCCCCACTTGTACCCGCCCATTGCTGCATTTCAGTAAAAGTGTGTGTCACCTTGATGCCTGGCCCTCTTTTTTTTTTTAATCCAGTGTGCATTTTCTTTCCTTTTCTTTTTTAAATATTTACTTATTTATTTTATTTATATTGGCTGCGTCAGGTCTTAGTTGCACCACATAGGATCTTTCCTTGAGGTGCGCGGACTTCTCTCTAGTTGTGGCACACAGGCTCAGTAGTTGTGGCGTGCGGGCTTAGTTGCCCCACGGCATGTGGGATCTTAGTTCCCTGACCAGGGATCAAACCCATGTCCCCTGCCTTGGAAGGCTGATTCTTAACCACTGGACAAGGAGGGAAGTCCCCTGCCTGGGCCTCTTTATAGCACATTTATATGGGGAGGAAAAGAAAGAAATGCTTATTCAAGCACAAAAATGATCTTTAAAGTCAAAACAACCCCCATCCCAGATGACAGGAGGCGCCCTCTCTCTGCTCGCTTCAGGTCCCGCACACATTCTTTGTGGCCCAGTTACACGCTGGCCAGAACTGTAGTTCGCAGTGACAGGCAAGCAGCCCTTTTATGCTAACTTGTTTCTCGCCAAGAAAAAGGTCTTTTATCACATCAGGAACCTGGAGAACCCTCTCCCCTGGGGCCCTGCTGTTAGATCATGATCTCACACATCTGAAGTCAAAACAGACCAGTTGCCAGAATGCCAGAGGTGAATCTTCACCACGCACACAGCCTGAGTCCCCATCGGACACAGGCGGGCTGCGAGGGACCAGAGCCCTCAGAGGCCTCGATCTTGGGAAAGGAGCCCCCCAGACCCCCCTCAGAGGCCCCCAGAGTATTTTTCGATGACACCATAGAGTAATGACTGCAGAGTCTCTTTCAAATCACGCGTCTGGTTGCATTTCACAATAGCTCGTGAGGTCAAGGAGAGTGGTGGCTGGCATGATGCAGCTGTTTTGTAAGCAGAAAGAAGCCAGGCTTGGTCAGGGCTCGTTGCCAGTTGCCCTGGGTCCGGACTTCTCCACTTGCCCCTTGGGCGGAAGCTGAAAAAGTGAGTCTGCGTATCCAAGAGCCACGTTGCTTGTTTTCACTGCTGTGTGTTTTCCAAATCTTCCACGAGTGTGACCCTTTTCTTTTCACCCTGAATCTGCCCATGTTTTGGGCCATGTGTGGGCCAGGAGGCTGTTGGAGGATCCCAGAGTGGGTCACCAGGAGGGACAGACAGCACACACCAACTTCCGGCCCGTTTAGTCTGTGAGCCCATTAAGGGTCCCGCCTTCTCTCAGCCCTTTGTCAGGCTCCAGGGTGAATGTCTGGGAGCTGCTGTCCTAGTTTGCGAGCTGGTCCACTCAGGCTCATTCACCCCCCAGGAGCACAGCTACAGACTCCTACCTCACGGCCTTTGCACTTGCCTCCCCTCCTTTCTCTGCCCGCACAGCCTCCCCAGGTGCCCAAAGGCTCCCTGCTGATGGGCCTGGCAGCCAGGCCTTCCCACTGCCCCACACCCACCCCTTACTCCAGCTCCTTCAACTTCTCTCTCGGCACCTACCACCCAGCATCCTCCACAGTTCACCCAACTGGTTTGCTGCATCAGTTTCTGTCTCGCCCCCCCAGACAGCGGCCTCCAAGAGGGAAGAGATCTGCATCTGTTTTCTTCGCCACCCTTGTATCTTCAGCCACCAGGCCTCCGCTCAGTGAAGATCCATTTCTGCAGAGCAGAGACACCAGTGTCCTCTGCTTTTCCATCTAGTCTTCTGTTACATTATTTTTCCTGTTTCCACGTAAGCATCGACTGTTTTTTGAATCAGAAAAAGAAGATCAGTAAACGTGTCATTGGTCAGAGCACCTGCCCCCCTCCCCCACGCCTGTTGTCAGAGTTCTTAACTGCGTTTAGGTCAGGAACCCTTTGAGCACGTGATTAAAAACTATGCATGTTCTCCCCAGGAAAGAAAAAATGGGCTTATGGCCATACATAACGGGCAGACCCCCTCCCCTCACGTCATGCCCCCCAGAGACACACTTTGGGGTCACCGGGGGTGTCGGTCACACAATGTCTCCGTCTTTGCGTTGAACCCTAGCCTCTGGGCCCACCTCTGCCTCACCTTCTCACGGGGGGAGCCACCCACCTGCTCTTGCTGCATGAAGTGATGATGGTCTGCTCTGTCCCCACCCCCCAACCCCGGAAAGGGGGAGGAGGGGGCAGGGCCGGCGGAACAGCTGGAAGAACCTTCCGGGCTGTCTGTTTTCATGGCCAGGCCTTCCTGACCAGCCTGCCTGCTCATCCTCGTGGGGGACCTGTGAGGTCATGTGTGTCCTTAAGGTAGCATTCTCCATCCCAGGACCTGAGGTGACCTGCAGGACACTTGGATGATCTCGACACAAAGCATCTGAATAGCACAGTGTCAGGAGCCCAGCTCCAGGGCAGGGGTCTGCTGACCAGGAGGGGAGGGTCTCCTCGGTGGAGGAGAGGGTCCAGTCACCAGAAGTGCCCCAGGGGCTGACCCACCACCCCTCGCGCCGCTCTCCTCCCAGCCGAGGTGTGGGCTCTCTGAGCATTTAGGTCCCCGCAGCTTTCACATCCTGCGTTTGATGAGAAATGCACCACAGGTGGGTTCCTTGAAATTTCCAGCTGAAATGAACCAAGATAAACGAAACCAAACAAAACAGCAAAATAAAAACCAAAACTAGCGATTTGCTTGCCTTTCTCCAGGTTGATACCACTGGGAATCACTTCCCTATTTCCCAAATCCTGCAAATTAATGGTGAAGTCCTGACGGCACCTCTCGTTCACCCCACTGGCTCCGCCGGCCTCCCTGCCCGCCTCCCCACAGGCCTGGTGTGTGCCCGTGGAACCCACGGCTCCGTGTGTAACGCAAACCTCATGTAACTCGCTGGGACTCCCCAGAGCAGTCAGCAACACTGGAGGACACTCATTTTGGTTGGTCCTTCTTAATCGTCATTAGGTGCCAGGGTGTCCCCAGTAGCATTCCCAGACTCTCCTGGAAACCCGGGGGCAGCCTCAGCCCCGGTTCCCAGGCCCCACTTCACATCTAGTCGTCTTCTATTTACAGAGGAGAAACCACGACCCTCACGATGGCTTTTGGAAAGAGTGTCTTGTACTCAGTGCTGGAGAAATAGCACTGCTGTCACACCCCTTCTCACCGGACCGGCCACAAGCTGGAATCTCCTCTGCTGTGCCGGTGGCTCCAGGAACGGGGCTAGAAAGGGGCGGGCAGAAGGGGCTGCAGAGCAGGGGTCCCGACTTCCTCTTGGTGGCTCTGTGACTGGGAGAGGTGGCTGGGTGCTCTGCTCCTCGGTTTCCGTCATCAGGAAAACGAGGGAACGAGGCCTGCCTCGCGGGCTGAGCTGCGAGGCTCGGGTGCACTGAGGCGGAGGCGGGCTGTGCGCGGCCGTGGACTTGACACTCAGCCCCTCGGCGTCTTCACGTGGACCAAACTCTCCTCAAGGCCTCACCGTGGGGCTGTGTTTGGGTTATACTGGATATTTACCTAGAGCACGTTGGTGGCTTGGAAGAAACATGCCATCTCGTGGGGAGATACAGGTCCTCTGCAAGGGCATCGCATTCAGCGTGAAGCTGGACGCCAGCCCTTCCTCCGTCACAGTGCGTCCCTGTGACTGTGGACATGTCATCTGACCTCTCAGGGCTGAGCTGACCCCTCTGACAACGGGAACAGGAAGGGAGGCCGGTTCAACTGGATGAAAGCAAAGGAGCTCTTAGCAACTGCCTGTGTTTTTCAGAAAAGCCGACCTAAAGCTGTCTCAGCAGGCCAGGAAGGCAGGGAGCCTTGCCTGGGGGTCTGGAAGTCTCCTGGATAAAAAAAGCCCTAAAGGGGGCTTCCCTGGTGGCACAGTGGTTAAGAATCCGCCTGCCAATGCAGGGGACACGGGTTCGAGCTGTGGTCCGGGAAGATCCCACATGCCGCAGAGCAACTAAGCCTGGGCTCCACAACTACTGAGCTAGCGTGCCACAACTACTGAAGCCCATGTGCCTGGAGCCCATGCTCCACAACAAGAGAAGGCACTGCAGTGAGAAGCCCATGCAGCAAAACGTAGAGTAGCAATGAAAACCCAACGCAGCCAAAAATAATAAATAAATAAAATAAATTAAAAAAAAAAAAAAAGCCCTAAAGGGTAGCGTTTGTTCACGAGGCCTGGGGTCTGCTGAGGTGACCCCACAGCCCCTTCAGACACCCATGTGCTGCCCTGACAGGACAGCTGAGGTGAAACAGGGCCCATGGTGGGACAGCAATGCCCTCAGCTGTGAAACCAGAGCAGAGCTGTGGTCTCCACAGACTGGGGGCTGCCAGGGTGTTGGAGAAATGGGTGCATCTTTTTGGTTTGGTTTTAGTTTAAATATATTGAATAAAAATAAAAGTGGAGAAAAAAAGACAGTGAGAAACACCTTGGGGGCTGGGCTCCCTCAGCATGTCAGGGACCCTCACCAGGGCCAGCGCAGCCGGAGGCGCCATGGGCAGCAGGACATAGCATTGACCTGCACTCATGAGGCTCCTTAGGGACCCCAGGGCTGGACCGGGTGTGGAGCTGGCCAGCCAGTGATCTGTAGCAGCAGCTCAGCCAAAAGGAGTCCATCTGCTGAGATGACCTCCCCAAGATGGAAAGTGGTATCTGAGTGTTACAGTGACCACCCCCTGGCTCCTGTGCTCTAGGGGTCCTTGCTAACTTTGGAAACTGGCATAGTTTCTTTCACCAGCCTCCGTAGCACGAAACACAGGCACAGAAGGGAGGCTGATTCTAGGGGTCCATGACAGACCAGAAACCAGGCCAACGGGATCCCTTCTGGAACAAGGCAGGTAGTAAATAAATACACACGGGCAGACCTCAGAGATGTCGCAGACTTAGTTGCAATAAAGCGACTGTTGCAATAACGTGAGTCACACAAGCCTTTGGTTTCTCAGTGCGTATCAGAGTTATGCTTACACTGTACTGTAGTCTGTTAAGTGCGCACTAGCATTATGTCCCCAAAACAAGGTACACACCTTACTTTAAAAATACTTGATTGCTGTAAAATGCTAACCAGCATCTGAGCCTTCAGCCAGTCGTAATCTTTTTGCTGGTGGAGGGTTTGCCCGGATGTTGACGCCTGCTGACTGACCAGAGTAGTGGGCGGCTATGGCAATTTCTTAAAGTAACACAGCACATTGGCTGACTCTTCCTTTCATGGACAATTTCTCTGTGGTATGTGACGCTATTTGATAGCATTTAATCCACAGGAGAACTGCTTTCAAAATTGGAATCAGTCCCCTCACACCCTGCCACTGCTTTATCAACTAAGTTTATATCATATCCTAAATTCTCTGTTGTCATTTCAACAATCTTCACAGCATCTTCACTAGGAGTAGATTCCATCTCAAGAAACCTCTTTCTTGGTTCACCCATAAGAAGGAAGTCCTCATCCATTCAAGTTGTATCCTGAGGTTGCAGCAATTCAGTCACATCTTCAGGTTCCACTTCTAGTTCTAGTTCTGTTATTTCAACCACATCTGCCATTACTTCCTCCACAGAGGTCTTGAATCCTCAAAGTCACCCGTGAGGGCTGGAATCAAATTCTTCCAAACTCCTGTTAATGTTGATATTTTTTTAAAAAATTTTATTGAAGTATAGTTGATGTACAATGTTGTGTTAGTTTCAGGTATACAGCAAAGTGATTCAGTTATACCTATATATTATTTTTCATTGTAGGTTATTACAAGATACTGAATATAGTTCCCTGTGCTATACAGTAGGACCTTGTTGTTTATTTTACATATGGTAGTTTGTATCTGTTAATCCCAAACTCTTAATGTATCTCTGCTTCCCCTTTGGTAACCATACATTTGTTTTCTATGTCTGTGAGTCTGTTTCTGTTTTGTAAATAAGTTCATTTGTATCATAACAATGATATTTTAATCTCTTTCCATGAACCGCAAATGTTCTCAATGGCATCTAGAATGGTGAATCCTTTCCAGAAGGTTTTTGATTTACTTTGCCCAGATGCATCAAAGGAACCACTGTCTATGACAGCTGTAGCCTTACAAAATATATTCCTTAAATAATTAGACTGGAAAGTCGAAATGACTTCTTTTTTTTTTTGTGGTACACGGGCCTCTCACTGTTGTGGCCTCTCCCGTTGTGGAGCACAGGCTCCGGACGCACAGGCTCAGCAGCCATGGCTCACGGGCCCAGCCGCTCCGCGGCATGTGGGATCTTCCCGGACCGGGGCACGAACCCGTGTCCCCTGCATCGGCAGGCGGACTGCATCGGCACTGCGCCACCAGGGAAGCCCTCAAAATGACTTCTTGATCCATGGGCTGCAGAATGGATGTTGTGTCAGCAGGCATGAAAACAAAATTAATCTCCTGGTTCATCTCCATCAGAGCTCTTGGGTGACCAGGTGCCTTGTCAATAAACAGTAAGAAAAGAAAAAAAAAAGGTCATGAAGAACCTAAGGGTAAGACGGGAATAAAGACACAGACCTACTAGAGAATGGACTTGAGGATATGGGGAGGGGGAAGGGTAAGCTGTGACAAAGCGAGAGAGAGGCATGGACATATATACACTACCAAACGTAAGGTAGATAGCTAGTGGGAAGCAGCCGCGTAGCACAGGGAGATCAGCTCGGTGCTTTGTGACCACCTAGAGGAGTGGGATAGGGACGGTGGGAGGGAGGGAGACACAAGAGGGAAGAGATATGGGAACATATGTATATGTATAACTGATTCACCTTGTTATAAAGCAGAAACTAACACACCATTGTAAAGCCATTATACTCCAATAAAGATGTAAAAAAAAAAAACACACACACACACAAAATAAGCAGTAAGATTTTGAAAGGAATCTTTTTTTCTGAGCAGTAGATCACAACAGGGCTTAAAATATTCAGTAAACCATGTTGTAAACAGATGTGTTGTCATCAGGGCTTTGTAGTTCCATTCATGGAGCACATACAGGGAAGATTTAGTATAGTTCTTAAGGGCCATAGGATTTTTAAGTTGAGCATTGGCTTTAACTTAAAGTCAACAGCTGCAATAGTCCCTAACAGGAGAGTCGGCCTCTGCATTGAAGCCAGCCATTGACTTCTCCTCTCCAGCTATGAAAGTCCTAGATGGCATCTTCTTCCAATAGAAGGTTATTTCTTCTACCTTGAAAATCTGCTGTTTAGTGTAGCCACATTCATGAATGATCTCAGCTAGATCTTCCAGATAAATTGCTTCAGCTTCTACATCAGCACTTGCTGTACCTTGTACTTTTATATTATGGGTAAGGCTTCTTTCCTTAAACCTCATGAATCAAACTCTGCTAGCTTCAACTTTTCTTCTGCAGCTTCCTCACCTGTTCAGCCTTCATGGAATCTAAGAGAGTTGGGCCTTTCTCTGGATTAGGCTTTGTCTGAAGGGAATGTTGTGGTTGGTTTGATCTTCTATCCAGCTCACTAAAACTTTCTCCACATCAGCAATAAGGCCGTTTTGCTTTCTTATCATTCATGTGTACACTGGAGTAGCACTTTTACTTTCGTTCAAGAACTTTTCCTGTGCATCCACAGCTTGGCTAACTGTTCGGTACAAGAGGCCTAGTTTTCTGCCCATCTGGGCTTTTGACCTACCTTCCTCACTAAGCTTAATCATTTCCAGCTTTCGATTGAAAGTGAAAAATGTGCGATTCTTTCTTTCACTTCAACTCCTAGAGCCATTGTAGGGTTATTGATTGACCTAATTTCAATATTATTGTGTCCCAGGGAATAGGGAGGCCCAAGGAGAGGGAGAGAGATGGGGTAAGGACCAGTGGAGCAGTCAGAACACACACGTTTATCAATTAAGCTTTTGCCGTCTTATATGGGCACCATTCATGGCACCCCAAAATAATCACAGTAACATTAAAGATCACGGATCACAGATCACCATAACAAATACAGTCCTAATTGGAAAAAGTTTGAAATATTGCTCGAATTACCAAAATGTGACACAGAGACACAATGTGAGCAAATGGTGTTGGAAAAATTGTGCCAATAGACTTGCTCAACACAGGGCTGCCACAAACCTTCAATCTGTAAAAAATGGACTATCTGCAAAGGGTAATAAAGTAAGGAACACCTGTCCATGAATAAACAGAAATGGAATTTCTATTATCCAAACACCCACACCACCGGCAAGTTAGATTTAACACAGAACTTCAGGAACAATGACTCCCTTTGCCAAAAGGCTTGCCTAGGTCTCCCCTAAATGAAGGGCACCTACTCACCACCCTCCAGCTGCCCTGAGCTCACGTCTCTCCCCTCACACGCTCTGTCCCTGCCTTCACTTCCTCGGCACCCCTCCCCATTGACCCACTGCTGTCAAGGTCACGCCCCATTATTGACTGGAACTCTTCTTTCAGCAGATGACCTTTTCAGTGCCAGGTGCAATTTTTAATGCTCACCCCTTGGCTTCCCCATTAAGTTCTATCCTCTGCATC